TGCATCCGAAATCGGATTTCCAACTTTGGCAACCGGCGCATTTCCCGACCAAAAATTCGATAAACAAACCAGCCATGAATCAAAGAAGACTGTTGATAGCAGCTGTATTTCATTTTAAGCATCCAGTGGAAAAAGACAGTAAAAAACATTACAAGTTGACAAAATACTCTGTCAGCTTCAGCTGTCAAACTGAAAGTAAACAAGGTTGAAGATGCTGTATAAATCAGTTTCTGCATGAACTCACCTGTCAAATTTTGACCAATCAGAGCATAAACATTGGACGGTCGTAGAGCGTGATCAACGTGTGACTATGGTGAGAAAAGTGAAAAGCCTCTGTCTTCCCTGCTTGTATTTTTAAATGACTGGCTGAATTTTCGAGTGCGAGATCAGTTTGAAATCAAAATGTTAATAGCGCGGGGCCATAGTGACATTAACACAACACTTTCTGTCATCATGTCATTATTTTGCTGCCGTTCTCTTTGCCTTTGTATTTCTCTTTCGCGTTGCCTTTGTCTGTTCATTCTAGCTCTGTCTCGTTGTGCTTGCCGGCGTTTTTCACTACAATTTTCTCTCCTTCTTCTCGCTCTGACTCTTTCTCCTTGCTTTCTTTTTTTCAAAACCAGTTGCGCGATATAATTGCGCGACGTTAACGCGTTGCGCCATGCGATTTCCCGCCAAAAAATCTCTACTTTCCCCTACCCCAAGAGTCCATGCGGACTACTTTCCACTACCCGGAAAGTCCGTACGGACGGACGTACGCTACGTCATGACCAAATTTTCTGGGATGGATAGTTTACCAAATTTTCTTACCCATGGTGCTCCGCTACGCGCGCGCGGGAGCTCCGCTATAATGCTAAAATATGCAAGGTACTTCGTAAATAAAGACGATTACGTCTGCTAGCACGTAACATCTCCGTAACATTTTGTTTGGTCAAACATGCATATCTTCCGCTATGAATTATTCTGCCTTGATTAATCACGAGACCAACTAGAATCGCTTTTATGAAAGACCTGAAACTTCTTGCGACATATCACCAAAAGGATATGAACCATGTTTAAATTTGAAAATATTTAAATAACAAAAGAAACATTTAACAACAGAAAATTTATGAATAACCGGCATTCGTCGCCGAAATCCATGTTTGCTTGCCACGTGACATGTGAAGTCTTCGGGGGGGATAATCCCATATATGGATGGATAAGATAGGCAAGTACCGCTTGATAGGGTATGCTTTTTTGTGGATCTCGAGCCTTTAATAGGGTATCATTTTTTTACCTTGTTGGCCTTGTGTCTTTGGTTTGATCCTTAAATAGGGTAACTCATGTAGTAATGAATGGTTTATTCCATCCTTTCCATTTTGTGGAAAAAACGTAATCCTGAACACGCTCGGAAGAATTGCAAGGTCGTACGATTTGTATATACGTAGGGAAGGAGAATTTTTTACTATCCCCAGGGTATTTGCTTTAGAGGACTCCATATTGAAAAAATTGTTTTAAGATGGAATGAATACTCCTTTTGTAACTATATGGGACCAAATCAAGTGAGAATAATGAACCAAATGGCTAGCCGGCTCAGTGTAAGACCCCAAGAAAGTTTTATAAAAACAGATACATAGAAAGGAATTGGCCAGCGACTAATTGGATTTTGTGTTTATGTTTCTGTCGTGGTTTGCCACTGGTGACGTTTTTTGTTTATTTGCAGTAAACATTTTGAATCTTGAGGCCTCGTTTGATTAAGTTGGCCAAAATATGGAAGCCACTATTACTTCTTTAAGATTGCGCGTTAGACAAGGACGGTGCAGCACGTGTTGTATCAACCTGTTATAAGATCTAGCAGGAAAGCTTGAGCTTTCCTAGTGTCCTTATTCGAATGACGTAGGATGGCTGTTACGATTTGCGGGAATTAAATGCTTTTTAATAATGGCTCGTTTGTGTCGAGTGTGTCTAGCTCTGTCCAGAGGCACATCCCCGTATCGGCCATATAAGGAAGTACACCCGCCGGGTAACCATTGAATGCAAACCACCTAGTACAATAGCAAAGTTTAAGAATACAGCCTTTCGTAAGTCACATAACTAATCAACAAAAATTTGAAAAAACTGTGAATAAAGTTAAATGGTTTGAATGAACGGAGAAGTTACGTGCTAGCAGACGTCATCATCTTTGTTTATGAAGTACCACGCATATTTTGGCATTATATTAATGTTGACGAAGTAAGTTGAATCACTCTCAAGAAATTATTACAAAGTGGGATGGAATTATTACAAATTGCGACAGCTTAGTTTATTACAAAGTGCGATGGACTGTTATTACTGAAATTGCGACAGCTTTTTTAATACAAAGTGCGACACGGTTTATTACAAATTACGACAGGTATTACAAAGTGCGATGTATTTATTACAAATTGCGACAGGTATTACAAAGTGCGATGATTATTACAAATTGTGACAGTACATAGTGTCTTGGCTTACTTTTGTGTCTTGGGTTCCTTGAGTGTCTTGCCTTACTTTTGCGTCTTGGCCTACTTCAGTTACTTGGCGTTCTTGAGGTACTTGACTTACTTTTGTGTCTTCGATTGCTTCAGTGTCCTGGCCTACTTCAGTTACTTGGCGTTCTTGAGGTACATGGCTTACTTTTGTGTCTTCGATTGCTTCAGTGTCTTGGCCTACTTCAGTTACTTGGCGTACTTGAGGTACTTGGCTTACTTTTGTGTCTTGGGTTGCTTGAGTGTCTTGGCATACTTTTGTGTCTTGGGTTCCTAGCAAATCATTGAATTTAGACACCACACGACATACTCCTCCACAGAATTAGTCGTGCAGCGAGTCAGTGGCACAGGACGCTTTGGACAAAAGAACTGGATTTCGAGTGTTCATCCGACCTCCAGGAGTTCCGCCTAGGAACGTCCGATTAGTCAAGCGAATATTCCACCACCGAAACGTTTTCAGGGAATGTCTTGCAACTGTCTACTCACCAGCGTTCGCATAACACGTTCGTTTTTCACCTAATTTCATGTATAGTGTTTAGTTACAAGTCCCAAAAGAGGCATCATACCTTCTTTTTGTGTTACATCGGACAAGGCATACATGTGCATGCTTTTCGTATTAATTAACCAATGAAAAGACCATAAAAACGAATTTACACTCTGTGTTGTGTTCCAGACGACGGAATTCCAAGAACAGTACAAGGGAATCATAATTATTTTTACTTCCACTTCACTGCCAGTTGTTACGCGTTTTTGAAAAAACACCAATGTATTTAATTAAGATGTTAAGGGAGAAAGGTAAATTTTCAAATTGCAATGAAGACAATAAAGGCAGCAAACCCTAAATTATAAAAAAGAAAAAAAAACTTGCTAATTATACTTTAAAGAGAAAGAATTTGATCTCAAAAACGCTCACTAACTAGCTCGCTTGTTTTGGTTTAAATTTAACAAGATCATTTTTATAAAAAAATTAAATAATGAGGCAGCACGAAAATAAAAGAACTTTTTCATGTTTTTGTATCCTCACGGCTCGTTTATTAACCTATACTGGTATTACTGCTTTTGTTTTGATTGTTATCATAACTCGTTTAATGAACGATGAAAACAGTTATGTAACGCGTGGCAGCTTCAATGTATCATTTGTACAATGTATAGTTGTCATCCAGAGTTTAGACTACGAGCAGCCTCTTTTTTTTTTTCTTAGTCCGTGAGACACGCAAATCATCATGCGCGTGCCGCTTTCGCGAGCGTCTGTCCCCCTCTCCCACCCCCTCGATGAATCTATAGAAAAAGAGAAACTGTGTGCAGTCTATCCTAACCTGAGATCGGGCCCAATTTTAGCGGTCCTCATACATTCTCCTTGCCCGCCGGAATGTTATTTTCGAAGCGAAACGAAAATAGAGCCCGATCTCAGTTAAGTCTATCTAGAGTTTCTCACATGGACAGCCTGTGTCAACCAAAGGAAAGAGATCGCTCTTTCAGCAGGCAGTCAACGCCTTGGTTAAAATATGAACTTGAGCCTTGTTAAAAGAACCCACAGCGATATTACTAGTATCTATGAAGGTAGGACATAGTGAATTATCGCTCAGTTACATCGGCGGATTCTGCGGCAGAATTTTCTTCATCACTCGGCTTCAGCAAATGTTTCATGTGATTATTGTACATCCAACCGTCTCCGTGACGATGAAAGATCTAAAAAAAAAAATAACATGATATGGTAGTGAAACTCATGTGATCATTCGAGTAACACTATCACAAAGTCGTATTAAAATTGAGAACAGGAATAGTCTGAGAAAAAAGTCGACATTTCGCGACGTCATCAACGGTGGTTTCCGAGGTCTGAGGAACGAGCACAGAATCTCCAAACTGATGGCGTGTCACTAGCCAGATCTGGGTAGTGCTTCTGACTAGCTGAGGCAAATTTTAACCATATCAATTTTCAAAACTGAGGCTCATGAGTTAAGGAAATGACTATTCAAGCAAGCATCACTTAAGTTTTACCAGTCACGTTGTTATCCACGGCACTTATGTCTAGCGATGGACATAACTCGGACCTTAGGTACAGTACTATTCACAGCTGCACGACTTGCCCTGTCGGTAGAGCAGTTGACTGCAGAGTGGAAGGTTTAAAAATTTTGTACAAAACTTGAATAAATTTATTCAGTTTGAAGATTACTGGTCACGCGTGACGGAGGAAAATTGCCCCGGTTAGATGAATTATAGGCGTATGGTTTGCTTACCTCCCCTTGTAAATATGTACCGTAAAATAAGAAGAAACGTCAATAGTCTTTACAGACAACATTGTACCATCATTTTAGCCACTTGTCATTAGGAAATTTCAGCAAATCATTACGGCGACCTCTACTACGGCGAAGGGGCATAGTCAATGTTTTCTTAAAGTTGAAATTTGGCGGGTTACGGAGACGAAGTCTCTCCAGGACTCCGCATCCACGACCGTCGTAGTTGAGGTCGCCGTGGCGATTTGCGTTAAGTCCTTATTGAATTCACTAATGGTCAATTTTATATGAATGAAGAACAACTAACCTTTGTTTTCCATTCTACACCAGCTTCTTTTCTCTCTCTGGCTTCTTTTCTTTGTTTTTCCTCAAGCTAGAATTGAAAATTTAGTGGGGCATCAAGCCTCTATCAGCGGAAAGCCCTAAACCAAATCACTAAAACGTTAGACGCGAACTCAATCGCAGAGGATTCTTTTGCAAAGCGAATTGATCATTATTTACTTGCATTTCAATCGACCCAAAAAACGGATGTCAAGTAAAGCTTAGTTTCCATATAATCGTTCAAAGGTGTTTAGGCGATTAAGAACTGATATGAAAACACTTGTCATGCAGGGGAGGACAGGGGACAGAAAAACCGGGCGAATAGGGGACGGGAGGGGTATGGGAGGCGGGAGAGAACTTGGCTAAGGGGAGGAAGCCAAGGAAAACAGGGCGGGAGCTGCAAATGTTGCCTATATAACCTGCGATGATCTTCCTTCATTTAATTCTTCACTCCGCAGTTCACATATATGATTTTCATATATTCATAACTTCATCACTTTACCCATAATCGAATCACAAGGCCAGCAAGAATAACCAATACTAATGCGACCCTGATTGATAATATATTTGTAAACAAAATAGACGAGAATTATAAATGTGGTATCCTTTTTACCGTGAGATCTTTCGGATCACTTACTAGTGTTCGTAACAATGGGCAAACGAGATGCAAGCAACTTTTCTGCTCTTCACGAAAAGATTCCTCATACAGGAAATGCTCGATTGCATCGTTTATAGCAGCTTCGATGTCAGGGTGATTCGATAACAGATGTCTCTCTCTCCCTCCATATCGCATTCCTCATCAATGTCACCAGTGCTCGAGTGTTAACAGAACGTGTCATACTCGACCAATAAGAGGGTATACCGGAACGACCCTTTGTTAACAATGTTTACAGGCGTTCTCTCGCTCTCAATCGCAGAGGATTCTTTTGCAGAGCGAATTGATCATTATTTACTTGCATTTTATATTCATAACAATCGACCCTAAAACGGATGGTTCGCTCTTTTTTTGACTTTATGATGCCCACTGTTCATTGATAAGAATCTCAAAACATCCTGTCGATCTCTAATGTATTGGTTGTGAAAATTTATCACAGCTGCATTTATCGGAACGCATGATATCAAACTAGAAATCAGAGTAACTAACAAAGAAGCTACAACCTTGCTGTACGCCATGTTTGTTTATAATGCTCGCCGTGAAGACTGGATCCAAGAGAATGACGAAAGCGTATTCGAAAATTTCCGGATACGAAAGTCCACACGTATACGTATTCGTATCGGATAAAAAAATTTCCACTCTGGAGAGCGTTTGTCTAGAAAACACAGACCCTGAAAACATAGGTAGTAGTTCGCTTGTTTTGTTTGATGTTTTAAACTATCGGTTGGGTTTGAGTTCGGGTTCGACCACTCAGTTTAAATTTTTAAAAACTAAAGCCAATTCTTTTCTTTTGTGTAGTGTTTGTTCATCTTTTATTTTTGTTCACATTGAGGAGGGTCTGGATGGGGTTAAGTGACAACTGACAAATGGTCAAAATTTTAACTCCAGACACTGTGACAAATAGCCTAAAATTTAACTGACAACTGGCATTTGCTTTGGGTTTTACTGACAACTGACAAAGGACCTGATTGTCCCTTATTTTCTACAAAACCCGTTTTAAGGCCTTAAATAGCATTGTTCTGCTCTTTTCTTCAGACAATGTGATCAAATGTGCGTTTTGGGGGGTAATCTTAGCAGCAAGACCCTTAAGTGTCATATTTCGTTGATGATTTACTATAAAACCCATGTCATGTACCATCTGTGGTAAAAATGAAAAACTATTACATTTAACTGACAACTGACAAACGGCCAAAATTTTAACTGACAACTGACATTTGTACCGCCTCATCCAGACCCTCATTGAATCACCCGGCGTTTTACTACCGAGTTAAACTTTTATTCACTTAGCCGGGCACAGCATAATGGGCACAGCGTTCATTTAAAAAGACAGTGCTAACAAACTGCAATTTCGTTGTTTTCATTGTTGTTGCTGTGAAGAAAAAAGCAAAGTCGGCATCCTAATACCCAAAAACTATGGGGAAAACAAGCGCCACTCTTAACCTGTTTTCATCAAATCTGCAAGTTTAGAAATTCTCAAAAATAGAAAATTGGGAGACAAATACAGCTCAAAACAATTCTTATGGATAAAACTGGTGTAAAACAACTAACTTTTTTGTAGAGTAATGAACACTAAATGACAAGAGTCAGAGTGACTTATTTGCAATTTTAGTCTGAGTTTTGTCATTTTTCTCATTTTAATGACAAAATACAGACAAAACGTTAATTTCAGTTTGTTTGTCTGAGGTTCGGGTTTATATAAAATAGTAGCTGGGCGCAGCGCTATAGAGTACTAAAGTGATGACGTCATAAAAATGAAATTTCTGAAATTATGGGATTTGTCAGGATATTCTGAAAGAAAAATGTCCAAGAGGCCCACTTACCAAAAATGAGCATTTCGGGGCAAATTGTCTCTGAGATCGTACCCAGTTATGCCTAGAAAACTCCATACAAACCCTTCTAAATTTTTTGGGGGTCGACCCAAAAAGAAGGGTTTGTATGGAGTTTTCTGAGTTTAACCGGCTAACATCTCAGAGACAATTTGCCCCGAAATGAAGGCCGTAAACGTGATTGTAAATCTTTCTGCTAATTAGCCACTTAATTACCTCTTCATTGATTGTAGCCCACGAAGCCACTTGGAGCAACTAGTTACATTCTCACTTTACTGACTCAGAAGCTGCAATACGTAACTAGTCTGACTGTAGACCATTGTGAAAAATAGTTTTTGCAATTTTGTAGACACGACAAATGTTTCCTCTTTATCATAGTGTCTGAAGTTTGATATAATGATAAACATTCTATTCAAGTTTGCTGACTGAAATTACATTCACAGATATTCGACTTCATGATCATCGTAGCGATTGTAGAATCTGTTAAATTTCAAGAATGTCAGCACGCGGATTATAGTTTTTGGTTGTTTTACGGATTATAGCCTTTGAACGGTCGTAATTCGACTTCATATACATGTATATTTTCGGAATGGTTTTGTGGGGGGTGTTAGTTTTCGTCAACGAAAACTAAGAGGAGTCTTTGTTTTCGAAATTATATAAGAAAACTAAGATCCCTAAATTAAAATTAAAACGGATTTAAATTAAAATTAAAACGGATTTCGCGTTGCTATCGGCAAATCCAAATCCGGGTTTTTGATTAGTCAGAAGGTTCAGCGGTATTTCCAGTTGAACTATACCCTTAGAGTTTCCTAGTTGCTGTCATTTGCCCTATAGCCCTTGAAAAATGTAAAAAAGAATGCGATATTGTTTAAATTATTCTGGTACAAGGTTTGTACACTGAAAATTGAAATTACTCAATGTCAATGTTTCCGGATGGATTCCGTCTTAAGTACTTCTTGGGCACTCAGAAAGAGGCCAAGATGTAATGTGAATTTATAACTTTGACCAGTTGAAAATACATTAATGATGTTGATAGCTTGTTCAAAAACTCGTAATTTAAAGAAGGCATAACATGAAACTTGAAATACAATGGAATCTCACGAATATATAACTCGAACCATTAGATAACAAACCTTTATTTAACGGATTGGCTGCGTTGGCTTTTGCGTGATTTCGATGTCAGCGCAGTTAAAGCATATCTAGCCAAAATGGCAAGTAAAGCGGAAACTTTTTGGAGTATAGCAAATTTGGTAAAATCGGCAAACGGTTTTTTTAAGTGATCACGAACACGAGAGGAGTGAACCTTAACATGACAAAGAACTGCGAGAAATTCAGGCCCGTAACCAGGATTTTATGTGGGGGGGTGCTAACGAGGCCAAAGTGGACCCAACTACGTACCGAAATGTATTTTTTATTTTCTGATCCGTTTGTTTAGGAAAGTAGAAATACATGAGAAATTGTAACCGCAAAGTACACAGTAGGAACTGAATATTACATTTTTCGAATACAACAGTTTGAATTAAGTTATAAAGGAGTAATTTTACGATGTAAAATGAAACATCAAAATACTGCGGAACTAATCCCTCAGAATAGTCCCGAGCTCCAGCCTGCGTGGGTGTAGCGACTAAATCTTAGAGCATGATAACGGATCAAGACTGGTGGACATTGTCAGCGTCTAATGGCTCTTGACGGGGTACTTTACTAACCCATGTATCGAGAGACTGGCAAGATTTAGCTGCAGCCTTCCTCTTTCTATTTTCCTGTTCTCTCGTACCCATAACGTATTACACAAAAAACTTATTTTGCATCTTCGGGCGTTCATGTGCTCGTCCAAACAGAGAATACTACCCGACGCGTTAGCGGACGTGTCTGACAAAAATCGTGAGATCGTTCCCTTGTCATTGTCTTGCTCGTCGTAAACTCCCGTGCAAAGCGTGCACATTAATACGTAAGCTCAGACATCTGTGCACTCATTGAAATATTCTGAATGGCTCGGGCTACTAGAGTAGAGCTGGTCTTATTTTCCCAGTGAATACACTACTGCTTTTTTCATTCTTTGATTTTGTTTAGATATCACTGTTAAGTTTGAAACTTCAGTTTAACCGACCGCACTCCTCAACTTGGATATTGAGTATCAAAATGTGGACCTTTGGGGCCTGTGGGGGGGTGCGAACGCAACCCGTGCACCCCCCCGGTTACGGGCCTGAGAAATCGCACACGAAAAATCGCAATTTTGCTGCTACGTGCGAAACCTGGACATAAGTGGGATTCAAACCCTTGACCTCTGTGATACCAGTGCAGCGCTCTACCAATTATTAAGCTAACAAGCCAACTGAAAGCAGGTGAGACCTTCTCTCAGTTGGCATGTTAGCTTAATTGGTAGAGCGCTGCTCGGTTTCGCAGAGGTCAAGGGTTCGAACCTGCACAAGCCTTTTTTTTTTTTTTTTTTTTTTCAGGCTTTCTTTTCGCAACTGCAAAACTTGCGTATATAACGGCGATGATCTTCCTTCATTTAATTCTTCACTCCGCAGTTCACATAATTATATGATTTTCATATATTCATAACTTCATCAAAAATATTTTTCTTCATCACTTTACACATAATCACAAGGCCAGCAAGAATAACCAATACTAATGCGACCCTGATTGATAATATATTTGTAAACAAAATAGAAGAGAACTATAAATGTGGTATCCTTTTTACCGTGAGATCTTTCGGATCACTTACTAGTGTTCGTAACAATGGGTAACTTGCTTGCAAAAGCTCAAACGTCAAAAGGGTAACAAAAAAAAAAACAAATTTAGGTTAATTGATGATAAAATGCTAAATTACCTCTGCCAAGACTTGGAATGTGAAGACCGAATATTGATGTTTACGGTAAAACGGTTTTAAGATCACTTTTACACTAAATTATATCAGTTGTTGAACAAAAACGTACCATTAATGAGACCCAGTAAAAAGAAAAGTGAAAACGGGCAGAGAGTACCTTGGATATCAAAAGGAATCCTAAATTCAAGGAAAACAAAAAATGTGTTATATAAAAATTTTTAAAGGAATCGGAATGAAAATAATGATTCAATTCATGAAACATTATCTTTGCCGGTGATACTAATTTATTTTACAGCTACAAAGGTGTTAACAGTTTGTGCAGTACCATTAAGCGAGCGGCCCCATCTAATTTTAAAAACTAAGAGAAAGAAGTTGATGAGGCTACCAGACTGAATCAAAATTACTGGTCGAATGTTAAAGGTACTACATTTCCTAAATATAGGTCCTAAAATATGAATAAGGAACTCATAAAATATTCATTATTGCAGTCAGTAGGAGAACAAAAACGGAAAAGATACGTTAAGTTATTTGATGCTCGCGCTCACGATCATCATTAAATATATTATTAATGGTTTTTATTGAAAGTTTTTTTTTACAGTATATTTCCTGTCCTTTTTAATATACAGAAATATGATTTTTGGCACGTTTCGATGAAACCATCTGTTCAGTTGTGGAGAGGAATGTGTTTCCCAAGGTGGATATCTCCAGTGAAACCTCTGCTTGTAGAGGAATGTGTTTTCCTAGGTGGATATCTCCTCCTCACACAAGTTGGAAAGTACATATGCAACTGCATATTAGCCGGCAGTTATCCACAGTATTGGATTCCGTCCTTGAAATACGTACTGTAGTCGATTTTGAAATAGATACATACATTTTTAAATAAATGCATCTAGCTGTCAATAAACTGTAGATTAGACGATATCCGGTCGCATGATTGTCATCCGTGATCAAAGTTCACCGAAAAGTCTTGCGCAAAGTACAGCTATTCACAATCAAATCCTTCCTTACAATGTGAAACTTTATCACAGTACAGGGTAACCGCTGAATGTTAACCGTTAACAAACATTGCGCAATTTTTGCAAACCTCTATTATTTTATAAAAAAAAAAAAGCTATCATCCAAGCAGAAGCTTAGGGGTTCGTCACGCGTTCCTGCCCCACGAACGTGAGGCTACTATTAAGCGGACACTTGGACACTTGTAGCACGTGGCCTTTTCTCGCGTGGGGTGATTTTCACGTCCGCTCGCGTTTCGCTCTCTCTACTATCCCTGAGGAAAAATGGGGGACTACTCGTAGTCTAGGACACTTGGCACTTGACATCTCTTTTGTCGTCTCAATCCCTTATTGTAATAATAACGTCGTGGTTTGCAATCGCGCTGGATGAGATGAGAACTAGACGGATTTTAAGAGAAAAGGCGGACTGCAAGCAGTCTACCCGCTCCAAGGTCAACGCTTGGCAGACAAAGGTAGGTAAAAGTCTATGCAAAGATAGCTGGAAATCACGTCTATAGTTTGGGTGCCACTGCAGCGACGAGACCTCTCCCAAATGATTGAAGGGATTCGGAGACGTTAATGTACAAATGGAAATTGTTTCTCTCTTCGACCTTCCACTTCTCGGCATTTTTAAGCAAGGCGGTTATCAGTAGACTTAGTAAGGTTCACTCGCACAAGGCCTCTTAAATGCAAAAAACCTGGACAAAAAATCTTGTGGAATAAAGCGGTTTAGCATGAAAAAGTCAATTATGGTAAACATATTTGCATTATTTGATATTTCCGTGTCTATCTACCGCAGCACGTACACGTACGAGTTTGCAGAGTCAGAACCGAATCTACCTGAAAAGCCGTAATTTCATAAAAGCCGATGTTACAGCAGGGACCTGGGTCCTCTACACTAATCCAAACTACAATGACAAGGAAGGGGGCACAGAAGACACTTTCAAGATTGTAAAACATGGAGTAAAAGACGTAGACATAACTAGCGTCAATGGTTCCATGTTCCTGATAGACGGAGGAATCGTTTTGTTTGAACACTTTCTCTATGGTGGAGATAGGAAGGTACTGCGAATATAATAAATGAACTTATTCAGTAATAACTGGGGAAACCTATGTTCTCTTAGTTCTGCTTTACTGTTCCTAAAAACAACGCAAATAGATCAAACCTCCCTCTCACCTGTGGATGTGAGACACCAAAGATTTTTTTCAGTTTTACTTTAAGATTCAGCTGAAGCCGGTTAGAAAAGAGATTTCAGTGGCTTTTTACTTGAACTGGCTTTGTTTTGTGAACTCTGGTCTGGAATCATTATTCTCAAAAGAAACTAATTTTCTCGTAAAAAATTACCTTGCGATTCAATAATCTGCTAAGAGGTACGATAGTATCAAATATAGTAATATAGGATGAGTAATTTTATTTTTAATGATGCTTGTTTCAGTTCAGTTAATTTTTAATATGTTTTAAAGTTTAAGTTCAGTTAATTTTTGATATTTTCAATATCTGTTTGCAAGCAGAAACCTTAACGGTCTAACTGAGATCATGTATCAGATACTTTTATTCTTAAAATCCACCTCGGATACGCATATTACTCTTTCTTTCTTATTCATTTGAAATTGAAACGACAAATATGTTCATGCATTCCCTCGAAAACCATACCCGCGTTCAGACCAAAACAGGTAATTAAGTGTATACCCGTTTACAGACCAAAACGGCGCAAAAACCATACCCTTTGGGGCGGCACAAACCAATAAAAATTCCTACCCTTTCATATACCTAAAGCCTGAAAAAGGTACCTCATTCGGGCGGAGCCTCCCCGTATAGGTCATTACAGGGATCACCCCCTGGGGGTGAATTCCATCTTGGTTTGTTAGTATTTATTTTTTTTCTGTTTGTACCCGTGTTGTATATAAAGTAGTCTTAATGCTGATCCAGACCTCACGAAGGTCTTTACTGACATAATCTGAGTGCTATCTTTTTATATTTTTTTTTCTGTAGTGGTTTCATGACAGTTGCGCTGATGTGAACAGTATTTTCCCAAGTGGAACAAGTGAAGGCGTCTCCTCTGCTATCGTTTTTTCTCAGAACCGGTCCGTAGACATCTTCACCAAACCCAACTATGAAGGCACGAAATTTACTCTGGAACCAGGAAAGTGGTATGAAAAGTTAAACAAGGCAGTCACTGGATTCGCACTGAACGACAAATTGCAGAGCTTCAAATTTAATCCAAAAGCTTAAGATTTGAAAAAACCCAGCCTACCCGGCCAGCCAACTCGCAGTCCATGGCCATTTTGTTCGAGTTTTCTTTCACTCTCGAAGTTATGTGGTTTCGATTGAGAAGCCGATTGTAATTAGTTCATTTTAGGATTTTTAGAGTTTTTAAATGTTGTCAAAACCAGAGGGAGGAATTGAATAAAAGAAGATGGTTTGCTTTATCCAGCATTTTGTCTTTGTAAACTTTAACTGATATTCAAATGGGAGATAAAATGGGAGATAAAACTTCAATTTAAGTCAATTTTTTTGCGTGCCATGGCCATGCGCTCACCATCTCCAGCCCCGCCTCGTGTTCAGACGTCTCTCTCTCTCGATGAAAATTTCCGGGCAAAGAAAGGCGAGAAGGAGAAAAAGGGCCAGCGCGTCTCTTGTTTCTCCTTCCCATGGTCCACTGCGATTCGTCACCATTCACTGGTGTTTCGCGTTCGCTTCTATGTGAAATACGAAGGGCCTGAGAAGGAAGAAGATCTCAGCCCATCATTTAGTAGTAGACCGGAGGGATTAGAATCAATATGTTGTGGCTGAATTTCATTCTTGGTTTAAATTTTTTACAAAATCATAGTAGTACTATGATTAGTAGCGAAAAGCGCAGGCTTTTGGCAGCCAAAAAGGATTAAAGTCTAGCTTTAACTAGCTAAAAAATTTTTATTCTCGATAGTTTTGACCAACTAGTTGGATTTTACTAAAACAATAATATTCCTCGAGCCCGAATGGCCTCTGAGTCAATAGCCCATTCGGCCTTCGGCCTCATGGGCTATTGAGTTAAAGCCCATTCGGGTTCGAGGAATAATTGTTAAATACCCTGTTCCAGGCGTTCAGATAGTAGAGCGCGGGAGAAAAATTCACGATAAAAACAAAAAACGAGGGGAGACAAGAGGGGGAAAGAGGAGAGAACGCCTGTAAACATTCCCTTACAGAGCTCTTCCCGCCCTTAACTGACCGCCGACCGCGTAACTGTGACATGAACTACAAAGTGCTACTCGTGATAGTGTGAAACGTGACCTTTCAGTCAGCTTTCAATAAACAACGTCAGAGGTTTTCCTTCTTTTAACTAAGCAAATCTAATTTCTGTCGTTCTGAGTCCAACATTTAGAAGGTCAGTCATGCATACTGGGCAATTATTTTCTGCGGTTTGTTTCTGAAAGAATTTGATTCCAGATGCAGTTAAGTACCGATTTTGCTTGACCTCTGTTAAAGTATTAATCTTTTTATTGCGGCTAAATAATCTTTCACATAAGATTTTTTTTTTTTTTGCCTTTCTGGGCTTCCATAAATATCTCACACGCACACCTTCCTTTCACATTAAGCCGTGTCTTCGTCCATGCCTTCCTCCTGTCCCCAACCGTATGGCTGTTGTTGTTGTTATTCCAAATTCGCTTGAGCTTGGTTT